CACGGCCGGCATTTGAGTCGACTCAAAAGGAGGTTGAACCCCACGGCCGGCATTTGAGTCGACTCAAAAGGAGGTTGAACCCCACGGCCGGCATTTGAGTCGACTCAAAAGGAGGTTGAACCCCACGGCCGGCATTTGAGTCGACTCAAAAGGAGGTTGAACCCCACGGCCGGCATTTGAGTCGACTCAAAAGGAGGTTGAACCCCACGGCCGGCATTTGAGTCGACTCAAAAGGAGGTTGAACCCCACGGCCGGCATTTGAGTCGACTCAAAAGGAGGTTGAACCCCACGGCCGGCATTTGAGTCGACTCAAAAGGAGGTTGAACCCCACGGCCGGCATTTGAGTCGACTCAAAAGGAGGTTGAACCCCACGGCCGGCATTTGAGTCGACTCAAAAGGAGGTTGAACCCCACGGCCGGCATTTGAGTCGACTCAAAAGGAGGTTGAACCCCACGGCCGGCATTTGAGTCGACTCAAAAGGAGGTTGAACCCCACGGCCGGCATTTGAGTCGACTCAAAAGGAGGTTGAACCCCACGGCCGGCATTTGAGTCGACTCAAAAGGAGGTTGAACCCCACGGCCGGCATTTGAGTCGACTCAAAAGGAGGTTGAACCCCACGGCCGGCATTTGAGTCGACTCAAAAGGAGGTTGAACCCCACGGCCGGCATTTGAGTCGACTCAAAAGGAGGTTGAACCCCACGGCCGGCATTTGAGTCGACTCAAAAGGAGGTTGAACCCCACGGCCGGCATTTGAGTCGACTCAAAAGGAGGTTGAACCCCACGGCCGGCATTTGAGTCGACTCAAAAGGAGGTTGAACCCCACGGCCGGCATTTGAGTCGACTCAAAAGGAGGTTGAACCCCACGGCCGGCATTTGAGTCGACTCAAAAGGAGGTTGAACCCCACGGCCGGCATTTGAGTCGACTCAAAAGGAGGTTGAACCCCACGGCCGGCATTTGAGTCGACTCAAAAGGAGGTTGAACCCCACGGCCGGCATTTGAGTCGACTCAAAAGGAGGTTGAACCCCACGGCCGGCATTTGAGTCGACTCAAAAGGAGGTTGAACCCCACGGCCGGCATTTGAGTCGACTCAAAAGGAGGTTGAACCCCACGGCCGGCATTTGAGTCGACTCAAAAGGAGGTTGAACCCCACGGCCGGCATTTGAGTCGACTCAAAAGGAGGTTGAACCCCACGGCCGGCATTTGAGTCGACAATAAGCAAGGAGTTGAACCCCACGGCCGGCATTTGAGTCGACTCAAAAGGAGGTTGAACCCCACGGCCGGCATTTGAGTCGACTCAAAAGGAGGTTGAACCCCACGGCCGGCATTTGAGTCGACTCAAAAGGAGGTTGAACCCCACGGCCGGCATTTGAGTCGACTCAAAAGGAGGTTGAACCCCACGGCCGGCATTTGAGTCGACTCAAAAGGAGGTTGAACCCCACGGCCGGCATTTGAGTCGACTCAAAGGAGGTTGAACCCCACGGCCGGCATTTGAGTCGACTCAAAATGAGGTTGAACCCCACGGCCGGCATTTGAGCCGACTCAAAAGGAGGTTGAACCCCACGGCCGGCATTTGAGTCGACTCAAAAGGAGGTTGAACCCCACGGCCGGCATTTAAGTCGACTCAAAAGGAGGTTGAACCCCACGGCCGGCATTTGAGTCGACTCAAAAGGAGGTTGAACCCCACGGCCGGCATTTGAGCCGACTCAAAAGGAGGTTGAACCCCACGGCCGGCATTTGAGTCGACTCAAAAGGAGGTTGAACCCCACGGCCGGCATTTGAGTCGACTCAAAAGGAGGTTGAACCCCACGGCCGGCATTTGAGTCGACTCAAGAGGAGGTTGAACCCCACGGCCGGCATTTGAGTAGACTCAAAAGGAGGTTGAACCCCACGGCCGGCATTTGAGCCGACTCAAAAGGAGGTTGAACCCCACGGCCGGCATTTGAGTCGACTCAAAAGGAGGTTGAACCCCACGGCCGGCATTTGAGTCGACTCAAAAGGAGGTTGAACCCCACGGCCGGCATTTGAGTCGACTCAAAAGGAGGTTGAACCCCACGGCCGGCATTTGAGTCGACTCAAAAGGAGGTTGAACCCCACGGCCGACATTTGAGTCGACTCAAAAGGAGGTTGAACCCCACGGCCGGCATTTGAGTCGACTCAAAAGGAGGTTGAACCCCACGGCCGGCATTTGAGTCGACTCAAAAGGAGGTTGACCCCACGGCCGGCATTTGAGCCGACTCAAAAGGAGGTTGAACCCCACGGCGGGCATTTGAGTCGACTCAAAAGGAGGTTGAACCCCACGGCCGGCATTTGAGTCGACTCAAAAGGAGGTTGAACCCCACGGCCGGCATTTGAGTCGACTCAAAAGGAGGTTGAACCCCACGGCCGGCATTTGAGTCGACTCAAAAGGAGGTTGAACCCCACGGCCGGCATTTGAGTCGACTCAAAAGGAGGTTGAACCCCACGGCCGGCATTTGAGTCGACTCAAAAGGAGGTTGAACCCCACGGCCGGCATTTGAGTCGACTCAAAAGGAGGTTGAACCCCACGGCCGGCATTTGAGTCGACTCAAAGGAGGTTGAACGCCACGGCCGCCATTTGAGTCGACTCAAAGGAGGTTAGAACCCACGGCCGGCATTTGAGTCGACTCAAAAGGAGGTTGAACCCAACGGCCGGCATTTGAGTCGACTCAAAAGGAGGTTGAACCCCACGGCCGGCGATTTGAGTCGACTCAAAAGGAGGGTTGAACCCCACGGCCGACATTTGAGTCGACTCAAAAGGAGGTTGAACCCCCACGGCCGCATTTGAGTCGACTCAAAGGAGGTTGAACCCCACGGCCGGCATTTGAGTCGACTTCAAAGGAGGTTTGAACCCCACGGACCTGCATTTGAGCCGACTCAAAAGGAGGTTGAACCCCCACGGCCGGCATTTGAGCCGACTCAAAAGGAGGTGTGAACCCCACGGCGGCAGGCATTTGAGTCGACTCAAAGGAGGTTGAACCCACGGCCGGCATTTGAGTCGACTCAAAAGGAGGTTGACCCCACGGCCGGCACTTTGAAGTCGACTCAAAAGGAGGTTGAACACAACCCACACGGCCGGCATTTGAGTCGACTCAAAAGGAGGTTGAACCCCACGGCCGGCATTTGAGTCGACTCAAAAGGAGGTGAACCCCACGGCCGGCATATTGAGTCGACTCAAAAGGAGGTTGAACCCCACGGCCGGCATTTGAGCCGACTCAAAAGGAGGTTTTGAACCCCACGGCCGGCATTTGAGTCGACTCAAAAGGAGGTTGAACCCCACGGCCGGCATTTGAGTCGACTCAAAAGGAGGTTTGAACCCCACGGCCGGCATCTTGAAGTCGACACTCAAAAGGAGGGTTGAACCCCACGGCCGGCATTGAGTCGGACATCAAAAGGAGGTTGAACCCCCTCACGGCCGGCATTGAGTCGACTCAAAAGGAGGTTGAACCCCACGGCCGGCATTTGAGTCGACTCAAAAGGGAGGTTGAACCCCCACGGCACGGCCCGGCATTTGAGGGTCGACTCAAAAGGAGGTTGAACCCCACGGCCGGCATTTGAGTCGACTCAAAAGGAAGGTTGAAAACCCCACGGGCCGGCATTTGAGCCGACTCAAAAGGAGGGGTTGAACCCCACGGCCGGCATTTGAGTCGACTCAAAAGGAGGTCGAAACCCGACGGCCGGCATTTGAGTCGACTCAAAAGGAGGTTGAACCCCACGGCCGGCATTTGAGTCGACATAAAAGGAGTTGAACCCCACGGCCGGCATTTGAGTCGACTCAACCAGGAGGTGAACCCCACAGGCCGGCATTTGAGTCGACTCAAAAAGGGAGGTTGAAACCCCACGGCCGGCATTTGAGTCGACTCAAAGAGGAGGTTGAACCCCACGGCCGGCATTTGAGTCGACTCAAAAAGGAGGTTGAACCCACGGCCGGCATTTGAGTCGACTCAAAAGGAGGTTGAACCCCACGGCCGGCATTTGAGTCGACTCAAATGGAGGTTGACCCCACGGCCGGGCATTTGAGTCGACTCAAAATGAGTTGAACCCCACGGCCGGCATTTGAGCCGACTCAAAAAGGAGGTTGAACCCCACGGCCGGCATTTGAGTCGACTCAAAAGGAGGTTGAACCCACGGCCAGGCATTTAAGTTCGACTCAAAAGGAGGTTGAACCCCACGGCGGCATTTGAGTCGACTCAAAAAGGAGGTTGAACCCCACGGCCGGCATTTGAGCCGACTCAAAAGGAGGTTGAACCCCACGGCCGGCATTTGAGTCGACTCAAAAGGAGGTTGAACCCCACAGGCCGGGCATTTGAGTCGACTCAAAAGGAGGTTGAACCCCGGCCGCATTTGAGTCGACTCAAGAGGAGGTTGAACCCCACGGCCGGCATTTGAGTAGACTCAAAAAAGGAGGTTGAACCCCAACGGCCGCATTTGAGGCCGACTCAAAAAGGAGGTTGAACCCCACGGCCGGCATTTGAGTCGACTCAAAAGGAGGTTATTGAAGCCCCACGGCCGGCATTTGAGTCGACTCAAAAGGAGGTTGAACCCCACGGCCGGCATTTGAGTCGACTCAAAAGGAGGTTGAACCCCACGGCCGGCATTTGAGTCGACTCAAAAGGAGGTTGAACCCCACGGCCGACATTTGAGTCGACTCAAAAGGAGGTTGAACCCCACGGCCGGCATTTGAGTCGACTCAAAAGGAGGTTGAACCCCACGGCCGGCATTTGAGTCGACTCAAAAAGGAGGTTGAACCCCACGGCCGGCATTTGACGCCGACTCAAAAGGAGGTTGAACCCCACGGCGGGCATTTGAGTCGACTCAAAAGGAGGTTGAACCCCACGGCCGGCATTTGAGTCGACTCAAAAGGAGGTTGAAACCCCACGGCCGGCATTTGAGTCGACTCAAAAGGAGGTTGAAACCCCACGGCCGGCATTTGAGTCGACTCAAAAGGAGGTTTGAACCCCACGGCCCGTCATTTTGAGTCGACTCAAAAGGAGGTTGAACCCCACGGCCGGCATTTGAGTCGACTCAAAAGGAGGTTGAACCCCACGGCCGGCATTTGAGTCGACTCAAAAGGAGGTTGACCCCACGGCCGGCATTTGAGTCGACTCAAAAGGAGGTTGAACCCCACGGCCGGCATTTGAGTCGACTCAAAAGGAGGTTGAACCCCCACGGCCGGCATTTGAGTTCGACTCAAAAGGAGGTTGAACCCCACGGCCGGCATTTGAAGTCGACTCAAAAGGAGGTTGAACCCCACGGCCGGCATTTGAGTCGACTCAAAGGAGGTTGAACCCCACGGCCGCATTTGAGTCGACTCAAAAGGAGGTTGAACCCCACGGCCGGCATTTGAGTCGACTCAAAAGGAGGTTGAACCCCACGGCCGGCATTTGAGTCGACTCAAAAGGAGGTTGAACCCCACGGCCGGCATTTGAGTCGACTCAAAAGGAGGTTGAACCCCACGGCCGGCATTGAGCCGACTCAAAAGGAGGTTGAACCCCACGGCCGGCATTTGAGTCGACTCAAAAGGAGGTTGAACCCCACGGCCGGCATTTGAGTCGACTCAAAAGGAGGTTGAACCCCACGGCCCGGCAGAGCCAGTGGCTGGCGGTGCCCTGATTGCGTTGAGCGCATTCCCCAGAAATAGAATGGTCTGCATGATGCGCCTCAGCCTCTTGAAATCCCGCACCTGGTGTGGTGCCATAGGGAACAGCGGCGACAGGGAAGAGAGGAGAGAGGGAGTGGTGGGTGAAAGCTTGAACCCCACAGCAGAGCCCTAGCAGTGCCCTGGTTGAGCGCGTTCCCCAGGGACAGAATGGTCTGCATGATGCGCCTCAGCCTCTTGGAATCCTGCACCTGGCGTGGTGCCTTAGGGAAGAGAGAGGGGGAGTGAGGGAAGACGGGGATGAAGGGAGTGGATCGTAGAGTGGGGTTGAGAGAGACGAGGGGAGGCAAGAAAAGAGAGGGCAGAAGGGGAGGCGAGGAGGGAAAAGCGAGGAAAGAGGGAGAAGCGGGAGAAGTGGGGGGAGGCGAGGGAAGAGGGGGAGGGAAGAGGAAGCGAGGGAGAGCGGGAAGCGAGGGAAGAGGGGGAAGTGAGGGAAGAGGGGGGGGGGAGTGAGGGAAGAGGGGGAAAGCGCGCACCTCATCTCCTTAAATTCACTTTCACACTCATCAACTCAAGGTTATGTCACTGTCACACTCTCACCTCCTCACAGTCCGTCACACCCACTCACCCCCTAGAGTCACACTCACCTCTTAGGGGCACACTCACCTCCTTACAGTCGCACACACCTCCTTACAGTCACACTCACCTCCTTACACGCATTGTGGACCAGATCCAGATTGCGCTGCACGTCCTTGACCTGCAGGTGGGTAGGTAGGGGGCACAGTGGAATGATGGAATTCGCGTGTGATGAAGCAGTTCGGGGGTGTACTGTTAGTCAACTCAACAATTACATTGCACGTCCTTGACCAGCAGGTGGGTAGTGTAGGGGGCACAGTCGAATCCGCGTGTGATGAGGCAGTTCGGGGGTGTTATTCATCCGGGGGGTGTACTGTTTTTAGTCAACTGAACAATCACGCTGCACGACCTTGACCTGCAGGTGGTGGGTATACTTAGATCACTCATGAGAAAAAGTAGCCAACAGAACGGCGCCCAGGAAAAGAATGAAAGAAAAGAAAAGAAAAGAAAAGAAAAGAACACATTGTGAACGCAAACCTGTGGTCTGGATGCAAACCGGAAGACAGACAGGATTCAGAAGTGGTGATGTCGTTTTGATTTTGCCTTGCGGCAAGCCGATATTGAAAATGCAGGTAGAGAGACAGCTTTCGAGGCGCCCCAACGGTGTGCTTTGGTTGTTGCCTTGTGTGACGAGCCGAGCCCTAGCCAAGCCAAACCCCACCATACTTTACCAGCACTTCTGAAGCCTGCTGCTGGAACACTTGTGCTGCCTGTCTCTTTACCACTTGCCAGCAAGCCCTCAACCGACGCACGTGATGAGACACGCATGAAGCAAATGCCACGTGGCACTCCCCTCACCTGCTGGTCATACGGCAACTTGAACTCAAAGATCCGCAGCTTGGCTTCCATACACCACTGGCCACACACATGGCATGGCATGGCTTGGCTTGGCTTGGCTTGGCATGGCATGGCCCTCACCTGCTGGTCGTACGACAGCTTGAGCACAAATATCCGCAGCTTTTCTTCCATACAACACTGGCCACACCGCATGGCATGGCATGGGCATGGGCATGGGCATGGGCATTCACCTGCTGGTCGTACGACAGCTTGAACTCAAAGATCTTCAACTTGGCTTCGATACGCGGCGCTCGCAGCATCTCCAGGAAGAACTGCTCGCACTTGCCCAGCTTCTCCGGCGGCATGCCACAGCCCTGGGGGATGGGGGATGGGAGGAATAGCAGTGGATAGGAGGGCACAATGGGAAGGGGAGAGAGGAAGGAGAGACAGATAAGAACTGCTCGCACTTGCCCAGCTTCTCCGGAGGCATGCCACAGCCCTGCGGAGCGGGATGAGGGCAGGAGGGGATCATAGAGGGTAAAGGGAAGGGAAGTGGGAGGGAAGGAGAGAAATTACGACGCTCGCAGCATCTCCAGGAAGAATTGATCGCACTTGCCCAGCTTCTCCGGAGGCATGCCACAGCCTGGGAGATGGGGATGGGAGGAATAGCAGTGGATATGAAAGGAAGTAGAGGGAAAGGAAAGGAAGTTATGACGCTCGCAGCATCTCCAGAAAGAACTGCTCGCACTTGCCCAGCTTCTCCGGGGGCATGCCACAGCCCTGCGGAGCGGGATGAGGGCAGGAGGGGATAATAGAGGGTAAAGGGAAGGGAAGTGGGAGGGAAGGAGAGAAATTACGACGCTCGCAGCATCTCCAGGATGAACTGCTCGCACTTGCCCAGCTTCTCCGGAGGCATGCCACAGCCCTGAGAGGCGAGGATGGGAGGAATAGCAGGGGATAGGAGGGCACAATGGGAAGGGGAGATAGGAAGGAGAGGCAGATAGTTACGCTCTTAGCATCTTAAGAAAGAATTGCTCGCACTTGCCCAGCTTCTTTGGAGGCATGCCACAGACAGCCCTGTAAGGGAGGAGGGGATAGGGGGGACAGGAGGGGATAAAAGAGGACAAAGGGAAGGAGACAGAGGAAGGAGAAGCAGATTGCACGCACGCAACAGCTCCAGAAAGAACTGCCTCGCAACCAGCTTGCCTCACCCGTCCAACTCACTACCACCATCAAGGTCGTTTCTTGAGGCGCCTCAGAAACGACCTCAAGCTTGCCTCACCCGTCCAACTCACTACCACCATCATACCTTTCCTTCCCTCCCCACCCAGCTGCCACGCACCTTGAGCATCTCCGCTTCTTCCTTGGCGGGGCAGAACTTGAGCAGAGCATCCACCTTCTCCCCATCAGCACCTGTTCGGAGCTGGTCCGAGCCAGAGGCCCTAGTCAGCACTGTGCAATTTGGGCATGGAGGTGTGGGTGGCCACACCTCCATGCCCTCATGCCCCCACGCCCTCATTCTCCAGTCGTCCTTGTTTACTGAAGCACAACTGGCTCATACATCAAACTCACTTCCACCATCACACACAGACACACCTTGAGCATCTCCGCTTCTTCCTTGGCGGGGCAGAACTTGAGCAGAGCGTCCACCTTCTCCGCGTCCAGCACCTTGCTGTCCAGCGCTAGAATGGCGTCCTGAGGAGAGGGGTGGAGGGAGAGGAAGGCACGAGAGTGAGTGAGCGCTGTTTGAGCAGACGGCTTCAGCAGAGCGTCCACCTTCTCCGCGTCCAGCACCTTGCTGTCCAGCGCTAGAATGGCGTCCTGAGGAGAGGGGTGGAGGGAGAGGAAGGCACGAGAGTGAGTGAGCGCTGTTTGAGCAGACGGCTTCAGCAGAGCGTCCACCTTCTCCGCGTCCCGCACCTTGCTGTCCAGCGCTAGAATGGCGTCCTGCGGGGATTATAAGGTGGATTGAAAAGTCGCTTCCACGATTGGAGACACGGATTAGAACGAATCAAAACAGAGAGAATGAGCTGTCGAGAAGAAGATCGGGAAACAAGTGGAGATTGCAGCACGAGACGAGACTGACAGAGAGGCTGACTGAATGGTGAGGAGGGGGAGTGTCTGATCTGAGCTGCGGCACAAGGGTTGGGTTGAGCGTCTTCAACTCAACTCACCACAATCTCCGAGTATTTGAGGTGATAATAAGTTGCTTTTGAGACGTCTCGAAAACAACTTATTATCGAAAGGTGAGGAGAGGAGAGGGAGCATCTGACCTGAGCTGCGGCACAAGGGTTGAGCAGCTTCAACTCAACTCACCACAATCTCAGTGTATTTCAGGTGCTTCATATTGGAAAGCATAATCCCAGAAACTCAACTTGCCAGAATTCGTTTCAACCCTTCTACACAGCTCCCTACCGCACCGCACCGCACTGGAACTCACCACAATCTCATTGTATTTGAGGTGCTTCATGTTGGAAAGCATAATCATACAATTGTTGGCTCGCTTCATATCAATCTGAGACGCAACCGAAAAGGAAAAGGAATCGGGAAAGCGTAATGAGTCGGCTTGTAAAACACCAGCTGTTGTAGGGATGAGCAAGTGGCGAACAGGAACGTGTTCGTGTTCGCCCCTACACGAACACCTTCGTTTGCCGAACCGAACAGTGTTCGGTTCGGCGAACACTTTGAGCAAAAAATGGTGTTCGCCGTTCGCCTGTGAAGGCGTGTTCGGGCGAACCTCGAACACTGTTCGTGTTCGTCGCGGGCAAAATTGCAGCAGCGGCCCGAACACGAACGTGTTCGGTGCGAACATCGAACACTGTTCGGCGAACATTTCAAGCCAAAAAAAAATACCTGTTCGGTTCGCCTCGAACACGTTCGAGGCGAACCGAACAGGTGTTCGTTTTTTTTGCTCAACCCTAAGCTGTTGGCACGCTTGACGTCAATCGATCTGAACTACAACCAGAAAGGCGTCTTTTGAGGCGCCTCAAAAAGCTGAACTACAACCAGAAAGGCGTCTTTTGAGGCGCCTCAAAAAGCTGAACTACAACCAGAAAGGCGTATGAACAAGAGCTGCAACGAAGAAGTTGTGTTGACTAGAAAAGAAAGGACTGTCGACCGCACCCTTCAAGTGGGTTTGAACTGAAGCACACAGCAGAGAAGACGAGCACACAAGGAGGCACAAGAATAGGGTGCTTACGGGACACGAGGCACGAGGCACAGGGAGCATGAGGAACGAGGAGGCACAAGGCATTGGGAGAGGCACGAGGCAGAAAACAGACACGAGGCACGAGGCAACTCACAAGAGAGAGTGCTTGCGGCTTGGCCTCCTTCTTGGGCCCGGTGTCTTTCTTCTTGGGGGGAGGGGCGGCAGAAAACAGATCCTCCAGCTCTGGGTATAGCGCCTCCAGGTCCAGCCTGCACCACATGCAGACAAAGAACGCCGCCCACATGCAAACAAGGGAGACAGACCGCCCGGATGCAGGAAAATGGTGTTTTGATGAGAGCAGGGGGTGGAACAAGGTGCGTGAGCCGAATGGTCATGGAGGGTTACAGAAGCATGATAAGGTGCAGTACGGTGCAGTGCGGTAAGGTGCAGTGCAGTAAGGTGCAGTGCGGTAAGGTGCAGTGCGGTAAGGTGCAACATATGGAAGAATCGCGTCAACAAGGAGGATGGGGAAAGTGGAGACGGGGGGTGGGGGGGGGGACGGGGGGTGGGGGTGGGGACGGGGGGTGGGGGTGGGGACGGGGGGGTGGGGGTGGGGACGGAACGGATGAGACGAATAACAAAGGAACAGAGAGGAGGAAAGAAGCGAGGAAAGAACCAGGAGGCAGTAGAGAAGGAAAGAGATGCAGAAAGAGAGAGGAGGGAGGTACGCAATTGGGGGTGGCAGCGAACTGCTCCTCCTTCTGCACTTCAGCCCACATGTTCCCCTCCCCTCCACCACTCGAATCACCTTCCTTTGAGACGTCTCAAGAAAGAGGAGGAGAGTGAGAGGAGGAAAGAGAGAGGAGGAAAGAGAGAGGAGGGAAAGAGAGAGGAGGGAAGCACTCACTTGGGGGTAGCAGCGACCTGCTCCTCCTTCTGCACCTCCGCCCACATGTTCCCCTCCACCACTCGCGTCACCTTCCCCCAGAAAAACGCCTTCAGGGGGGTCTTCTTCTTGGGGGGGGGCGCAGCAGCTGCAAACCCCCCCTTGAACCCCCCGGGGGGAGGGGGCCCCGGTGGACCCTTCCCCTTGAACCCGGGGGGGGGAGGGGGACCCTTCCCCTTGAACCCGGGGGGAGGAGGGGGGCCCTTCAATCCGGGGGGAGGGGGAGGGCCTGGAGGGCCTTTTCCCCCTGGGGGCGGGGGAGGGGGAGGTGGTCCGCCCTTGCCCCCTGGGGGAGGGGGGGGCGGGGGGGACCCTTTCCCCCCCCAGGGGGAGGGGGAGGGGGTGGGGGGCCTCTGGGCCCGCCAGGAGGGGGAGGGGGAGGGGGAGGTCCTCTGGGCCCGCCAGGGGGAGGGGGAGGCGGGGGAGGGCCCCCGCCTGGGGGAGGGGGTGGGGGGGGAGGAGGGGGAGGGCCACCACCTGGGGGAGGAGGTGGGGGGGGAGGTGGGGGTGAGGGCCCCCGCCAGGGGGAGGGGGAGGTGGAGGGGGAGGGGGAGGTCCCCCACCTGGGGGAGGAGGTGGAGGGGGCGGAGGAGGCGGGGGGCCCGCCCCCCTGGCGGAAGGGGAGGAGGGGGAGGAGGAGGAGGGGCACCCCCTGGAGGAGGGGGCGGGGGAGGAGGCGGGGGAGGGGGCGGGGGAGGACCCCCTCCTGGGGGAGGGGGTGGGGGAGGAGGCGGGGGAGGGGGCGGGGGAGGACCCCCACCTGGGGGAGGGGGTGGGGGAGGGGGTGGAGGGGGAGGGGGAGGAGCGCCTCCGCCTGGGGGAGGGGGTGGGGGAGGGGGAGGCGGAGGAGGAGGGGGAGGTCCCCCCCCTGGGGAGGAGGCGGGGGCGGGGGGGCTACTTTGGGACTGGGCGGATCTGGCTCAGCCATCTTTGCAGCTAATGCTGCCTTTCTAGCTGCCCTCTCCTCCTGCCTCCTCCTCTGCTCCTCCTTCCACCTCTCCTCCTCCCTCCTCTCCTCTTCCTCCTCCTCTAACCTCCTCCTCTCAGCCTCCATCCGCCTCTCTTCAGCCTTCCTCAGCTTCTCCTGTTTCTTCCTCTCTGCTGCAGCCTCAGCAGCAGCAGCAGCTGCAGCAGCCGCCTTTTCCTCCTCATCCTCCTCTTCCTTCTCCTCCTCCTTCTTCTCCTTCTTCTCCTCCTTTTTCTCCTCCTTCTCCTCTTCCTTCTCCTCCTCCTTCTCCTCCTTCTTTTCCTCCTTCTCCTCTTCCTTCTTCTCATCCTCCCCCTTCTCCAGTCCCTTCTGCCCCAGCAAACCCATCTCGGGCAACTTAAACCCCGGCACCCGTTTCGACATCCTCCTTAAAAGCTTCCCCAGAACAGGATTCAGCTCCGGATCCCACTCATTCCAATACAGCGACGGCCCATTCGCTAAATCCAACCAAAGCATCTTCAAATCCCCCGCACTCGCCCTCTCTCTCCTCGTCAGCCCCTCCTCCTCCGTATAAGTCTGCTCCGCAAACAACAACCCAGGCGGCAACACCATCTCCGACCCAACCTTCCTCCGCACCTTCCCGCCCGGAAACCCAAACATCCCAAACCCTAAACCACTCCCAAACGGCCGAGATGGCGACGGGCTCCCATCCCTTGAATGCAACATGCTCGAAAACGTCGGAGAAGTATCAGCTGAATCCAAATCCGAAGCATAATCGCTATCATCTAGCATATCCCCTGCAAACCCCGCCCCTCCTGGGCCCCACTTCCCACCTGCCGGCACCCGGGTTCGAACCCGCAACCCTCCACTCCGGCGGTTTCTCCTCTTGGTACTGGCTGCGGAGTAGATGGTGTGGCGGATCTCTTCTAGGGCGCGTGAGCTGTCGTCCTGCGACCAATTGGAATCCTCAAAAGCCTCCTTGAGCTTGAGGAAGGAATCGAGGGGTAGACCGCCGAAGTCGTCTGCTGCCAGGGAGGTGGCGGCTGGTGGAGGCAGTACCTTGGACTCCCGGTCCGTCAGAAGGATCTGGAGGGTGAGTGGGTAGGGCAAGGACAACACCGAACGCGGGTCAGAGAGGGAAATCAGAAGAATCTGGAGGGTGGGGCAGGGGCACCAGCAGCATTAAATGCACATGCTAAAGGGAAATGGCGTGCCTAGAAATGCTGACAAAAGTGATTTTTGGAGCATCCCGCACCGCAACCCCTGAAGAACGTTCACCTCACCTCAACTCAGGCTAATGCCACACCTCACCTCCACTCTGAAGTCCTGTGTGAAGCGCTCTCGTGTGTGCCAGAGGATATCGAGATCGTCCCGGGAGAGCACGAGCATGTTAGATCGCACACGGGCCGTGTTGATCGCCAGTCACTCACTCGCCACGCCATCTGCTCACTACCATTTGCCTCAAACCTCATCTCCACTCTCTGATGTCTTGTGCGGCCACCGCACTGCACCCACCCCAACCCTAACAGAAATCTAATAACAGGAATCTCATATATCAACCCTACACAAGAACTCACCTCCACTCTGAAGTCCTGCGTGAACCGCTCCCTTGTGTGCCAGAGAATATCGAGATCGTCCCGCGAGAGCACGAGCATGTTGGATCGCACGTGGGCCGTGTTGAACGCCACTCGCCACACCATCTGCTCGCTGCCCGCGCCCTCCATGTCCACATGCACACACTCTATCACCACGTCCCCCTGCACCACCGCCATCACATCCATCTTCACCACCTCCGCCTCTCTCTGGTTGTTGGGGTGTGCGAGAGAACGGGAAAGGAGGTTTGGAAAGGAAGGGGCGTTTGAGTCAAGCTGTCCACATGCACGCACTCTATCACCACGTCCCCCTGCACCACTGCCATCACATCCATCTTCACCACCTCCGCTTCCCTCTGGTTGTAAAAAAGGGAAAAAAGGGGAGGGGAGCAGGTGAGGAGGGGAGCGGTTGAGGAGGGGGTCCATTCGGTCGAGTCGACCATCTGCTCGGCGCCTCCCCACTCCATGTCCACATGCACGCACTCGATCATCACATCGGCCTGCACCACCGCCGTCACATCCATCTTCACCACCTCCGCTTCCCTCCCTCTGGCTGTTTGGAAGGGGGAGCGCAAGGGGGGCAGGGTGGGTGGGGAGGGAGGTGGTGTGTGCGGGGAACTTGTGAGTTGACCCACATGCACACACTCGATCACCACATCGCCCTGCCCTGCACCACCGCCGTCATATCCATCTTCACCACCTCCGCTTCCCTTTACTTGTTGTAGGAGGGCAGGGAGGCGGAGGGGAGGGGGGGGGGGGGAATGGGAAAGAAAGGAGGTGTGGGTCTAGTCTAGTCTAGCAGCCAAATGCACGCACTCCATCACCACGTCGCCCTGTACCACTGCCATCGCATCCATCTTCACTATCCCCCTTCGCTCTGGCCGCCAAAAGTGGGAGAAAGGGACTAGGGAGGGCGGGGACGTGTGAGCCGACCCACCCACATGCACACACTTGTAAAAAGAGTAGTTTGAGACGTCTCAAAACTACTTCTTTCTACACGTGAAAAGGGCAAGGGAGGGCAGGGACGTGTGAGCCCTTGCACTCAGCAGATCTCTTTACCCCTTGCCTCACCTGCAGGTAGCACTCAGCAGATCTCTTTACCCCTTGCCTCACCTGCAGGTAGCACTCAGCAGATCTCTTTACCCCTTGCCTCACCTGCAGGTAGCACTCAGCAGATCTCTTTACCCCTTGCCTCACCTGCAGGTAGCACTCAGCAGATCTCTTTACCCCTTGCCTCACCTGCAGGTAGCACTCAGCAGATCTCTTTACCCCTTGCCTCACCTGCAGGTAGTACTTGGCTCGATTCACGCCATGCCTCGCGCTCAGAAACAGCAGCCCCGAGTCTCGGTTCTCCGGCAGGCCAGGATCGCGCCCAAACACTCTGATCACAGGGCAGCACCCGCCTCTAGCGTCCAGCTGTGGCACACCGCGCATAATCACACAGTCTAGAGTCACCATCCGGCTGCTGCTCGCTCCCAGACACCCCTCTCTAGAAGACGGAACCAGCACCTGGCTCCCCCACTCGCTGCCCTCCTCCTCCGCCACCCCTTTTCCCTTCCCCTTCCCCTTCTTGTCCTTGCTTTCCCTCTCAATAAACCCGTGGGGTAAAGAGCTGACGCAGTGGGCTATGTACTGAAGGTACCTCGCCTGGGAAGGGACAGGGTTTAAGGGGTAATGCAGCTGTAGGAAGCCCCTAGGAGCCGCTTTGTAGATGCCCTGTAAGAGATCTCGCTCCTCCTCTCCGTTCCATTCCTTGTGGAACACTAAGAACGAGGCGATCATAAACGCCAAGAGAGGCCACCCGCCTCGCTCGCAGTGCAAGAGAACGATGTTTTTCCGCCGCCCGTTGCCGCCCGGTGAAGCCAACCCTAATTGCTGCTGCTGCTGCTGCTTTGCTGGTGTCCCCCCATCAGCCTCCTCCAATAACGTTTTTGCCAGATTTGGCTTGCGACCGGGCAGGTCAAATTCCTGCTGGAGCCAGCTATTGGTGGACTGGAGAAAATGGTCGATTAGGTCAAGAGAAAGAATCGGGCAGCCCTCGAAATGTCTGGGGTACTCAAGAACTGTGGCATCAGAATCTAGAAAATAAGATCCGGCGAAGAGCGTTCGGCTGGAGCCGCTGCTGCCGTCGCGGAAATTGCAGATGAGGATGGATGCGTTGGAGATATGATTGCGGAGATCTGTGCAGATCTGGCGAAAGTAAAGGCGGTAGGTGGCTGTGGTGGGCACGTCGTTGGCAATGCAGGAATCAAACACTGGGGGGGGAAGCAGGGTGGGGGTTGCGGAGAGGGGGAGGGGGATTGGGAGCAGGGGAGGGAGGGATCAGGGAACAAAGGGAAAAGGGGTTGAAGAGGTCAGCGGAAGGGAGAAGGGGTAGGAGGAGGGATCAGAGACCGAAGGAACGAGATGTGGGAGGCCAGAGGGGGGAGGAAAGAAGGGAGGAAATAAGGAAGCAAGGAGGCGGGAGTGAAGGGATGGAGAGATAGAAGAGTCAAGACTGCTGGAAGGGAAAAAAGGAGGAAGGAAGAGAGCTGTAGAGGACGCAGAGGAAGGGATAGACAGACGGGCAAGGAAGAGGGGAGAGACAGCGTAGTGCCTTTGAGTTGACTAAAAAACAGGGACCGGGGTGACTTATGAATCGACTGGAAAAAAAGGATTGGAGTGATGCCTGATTGAACTCACGAACTACCTAAGACGAAGGTCCGAGGGAAAAGTAGGAGGGGGAAGTGGAGGGTGGTTTGAACTGAAAACGGGAAGTTGGGTCTAGAAGCAAAGGAGGAAATATGAGAAACAAGGTAATATGTAGGTACGCGGCTAGACATCCGGAGTCGAATACTCCACGAGACGAGTGAGGATGCAAAGCGAGGCGAGAAGGAAGTAAGGGAAGAGGAGTGGGGGAAAGGAAGCAGACGGCTAATATGTATCGCTCATCGCGACCGTTGAACAGGAAACCTTGCATCCTACTACCAAACCTCAGCAGCGAAATTCCAAGGACAGCTGCCACGCGAAAGCTCGCGCGAGTAGTTACCTGAAGTAACCCTAATACTCACCGAACACGCGATCGCTGATCTGCAGCAGTCCGTCCGGAGGCGGCGGCGGCGGAGGCTTGGCTGCTTTTTTCCCTCCGAACCACGGCATGCTGGCAATTTATGATCAGAATTTTAGTGGAGGTAGCAGCGGTGGTGGGGGTGGTGGTGGGGAATCTGTACGGTAGCTTTCGTTCGGGAATATTCGCGAAGGTTTTTTCTGTCGGTAACGACGAAATGTTGTTACAGCACAGACGTTCAGTGCTGAGCGAGTAATACGACGAACAAAACGGATGGAAGGAGGACCTAGATTGTGGTTGTCGCGAAAGCCAGGACGAGATGTGCGTTTCTCATGCAGCTCTGACACGCGCTGGTCGAACGACACGTGGCTATTATATAAAACCAACGGTCCGAGACGGCCAATTCCTCCATGCAGCTATGTGGGCGTATCGCTGTCAAGGCGTGGCTGTTGTGACATATGGGGCTGGAAATATCGAGGCTAACGAGCTTCGCTTGGCGAGCTGCCAATAACATGGCAGCATGCCAACTGTTTCGCCACTAACGCTCCACGAGATTCTGGGCTGCTGCTGGCAATGCCTGCGAAATAACCTCTAGGTGGACTTGTCATGTCATTGGAAACTCCGCCGCGCCGCGAACCCTGACTCATACATTCCTATCCCAAGGTTATGCCTGATTGAAATGTCACGGGCTTGGTGCATCTCACAATCCATACAGCACAGGACACTTGAAGTTGGCTTTCTGCATTATCGCAGAGCAGAACTCGCCTTACTAGCTTAGGGCGTGTTGTGCAGGATGTCTGGTCAACCCGCGGTATGTCTGGTTACCCCCTTACAGGTTGATTCGTTGATTCAACCTCCAAAAATAGCATAAAAGCAGGATCGATGGTGCCATTATGGGGGTTTCATACGGTGGAAAGCGGATACTCTGCTTCATAGTTTTGCACCGTACACGACAAACATACGAGCTGGTACCCCCTGAAAGAGGCAGTTTGGCTTGGCGGGCACGTCAAGACTCGAGTTTTCAGGTCGTGTCCGTAGGGATGACATGTCAAAGTGGCCAGTGTCAACTTGGCATTTTGACACTCTGCCAACATTGTTGGCAGAGTGTCAAGAAATTGCAGGTTGCCAGCCAATACAAATCGTCGGACACTTTTGAAATTGGCACAGACAAACCTACAAACGAGAGAAGATTGTCGCAGGTACCTATCTCACGACCAGATGCTGCCCAATCATCACACAATATGTCTTTTGATTTGTTCGTTGCCTAGCAGATCTGTCCATGACAAATTCTCAAACCAATGAAATTGCGTCGCTGATGTTCGTACCTGCGCTTTGACTTGACCACTTCCACTACAGTGCTTGACACTCTAATTTGAATGCGCTTCGGATTCACGCGCTCTCACTTGACATGTCAACCCTACGGACACGAACTCACACAAGGCCTCGATTGCGCTTCGTGGCATCGAGTGGGGGACTAAACCATCCCCGTAGCGACTCTGACGACTCAAGAACAGGCCTGTCGAAGTTCCTGGGGCCAACACTTTGAGTCCTGAGCTGCTCGAAGTTTGGCCCTGATTTTCGCGAAGGTGACCGTTTTTTAGCCCTTAACGATCACGGGTGCAGGTCCAAACCAAAACTTGAAATCCGGGCTTCTTAAAAAATGTGCGTGTGCCCTAATTTCACAAAGGGGGATGTCAGCGGAAAGGAGCTTGCTAAACGACTATCTGCGAACCTACATCAAGGGGGGAAGAGGGGTGGGGGAGGGGTGGGGGGGCTCGTAGGGCAAATATCGTCAGCAAAGAAGTCGTTTGAACTCTTGTGGACAATTGCAAAGCACTTCCAAGGAAGTTCGTTCTCATGTAGTATTCCTAGTGTGAACCGATGGGGCTGAATCCCACCTCACCATGTAAGGGTGTCAGTGTCTTGATTCCAGCGTGAGTACTTCGAATTGTGAGGGGTGAACAATGTCTCAGAAATATTTTGCAACCACAGCCATAAACATCAACCCTAGAACCTCCTTTCATACCAAGAAGATAGAATGTGGGAGCGACAGGGATAAGGGCACGGGAGGAGAAGAGTGTCAACTTAGGAAACTCGCAAGGTTACTTGTACTACTTATCCGGGATCTCAGGGAAGGGCCCCAAACCAGCCCTTGACTATCCGGGTTGATACCCCAATTTCTCGAAATCAGCCCGTAAGAAAAAACGGGCTCCCCTCGAAACCAGCCCTTTGAAATGCCGAAGCTGGCCTGGAGTTCACCCGGAATGTTCAGGGCATTAAGGGCAAATGCCCTTGAATCGACAGCCCTGCTCAAGAAGCATATCCATAATGGAAGACTACAGTGCACAACATACGTCCGATCGTCACTGCATAACTCGTGTAGAAATGCTCTGTTCTCCAAAAACTTTGTGCAATGAAGACCTAATGAAGAACATAGTCACTAGGATCTGATGGAAGGTGTGAAAATGATAACTGAAAGCATGCAACGGTTAAAAAGGGCCAAATTACCAGAATCCATAACAGTCAGGCTCGTTCTATCAACAGCTAATTAGAAAAGCTCACGAACTGCAGGTTACCAAATGTGCTGCATCCAGCTGCTGATTTGCCAAGTGATTACACGTAATCACAATTTACACAGTCCAGCCAAAGATCCAGCAGATAAGTGCAGAGCAGTTAGGTAGTGGCTTCGGCTCAATGATCTCAATTGGCTCCTGTAGTATATGAACGCAATTTTGCCGCACAAGTCAGGAAGTCAATCGTGCAATGCGGGATTTGACAAAGATGCGTAGTGGGTTCAGATGTTAGTGCCTTTTGCCAACAGCAGGAGCCAAAAGAAAGCGGAGCAGCAAAGCAGCAAAACGTACAGGATGGTGGGTTGCACACATTATCACATGCATTGGGAGGGATTGGCGCGGAAAATATTACATAAAGACCAATTTTCTTTTAGTCGTACCTGGCAGGTGGCGACTGGTTTCTCTCCCTGCACACCGTTCTGATCCTTATCCTCCTCCACTGGCTTCCCAGCCTCACTTCCTGAGCTCGACCTCGTTTCTGAAACCACAGCCTTCGTTTCTTCCGCAACCCCCCCAGACGATGATGACCAGCAGCAGCCACTGCCGCTGCCGTGCCAGCAGAACCCTGCTTCTCTGCACCACCCCCAGCCCCTTCCCTTGCATATTCTGCACTGCTGCTGCTGCTTTCTGTGACTGCAATCTTGGCCTCTGATTCTGGTTGTTTCTCTTCCACTGCAGGTGGTGCCGCCGTGACGGCTGCTGGTTCAGGAATCGGTGTAGGTGCTGTTATAGGTGCAGCAGGCGTTGGTTCAGGTGCTGCTGGTGCAGGCTCAGATGATACCGGTGTGGCCTCTGGAGCAGGCTCAGGGGCTGCAGGGGCTGCAGGCACTGGCTCAGGTGCTTTAGGAGCAGGCTCAGGTTCTGCTGGTGCAGGTTCAGATTCAGGGGCTGCTGGCGCAGGTTCAGATGCTTCAGGTGCAGGCTCAGGGGCTGCTGGTGCAGGTTCAGGTGCTTCGGGTACAGGTTCAGGGACTGCTGGTGCAGGCTCAGGGACTGCAGGTGTAGGCTCGGTGCTTCAGGTGCAGGCTCAGGGACTGCTGGTGCAGGTTCAGGGGCTGAAGGTGCAGGCTCTGGTGACGGCTCAGGGGTTGGCTCGGGAGCAACAGAGACGGCGGCCGCAGCGACTACTGCTGCTGCAGCTGCCAGCATGACCTCCCCTCCATCCTTGGGCTGGGATGCAGCTGAAGCTGACGAATCAGCATCTGCTGAGGCTTGTGGTGTGGCAGTTGCGGGAGCTGTTGAGAAGGGACGGAGAGACCACAAGCAAACAGAAAAAGCAAACTTGAATAATGTTCGGTTAGCGAGTGACAACCCCAGCTACGCCAGAAACCGTGCATTATGGACCCTACTCCATGAACAATACTGCATGAACCGGAATATAAACAGCCCCCCAAATAGGACAGCGTGATCAGCATAATCAGCGTGATCAGCGTACTTTGAGCTTTCCAGCTGGCGACCAGGCATGGCCAAATCCGTCTTATTTCAATAAAGGGTCTAAGGGCGGGTTCCATCATTTCGACCCTTGCATGGCCCAGTTAGGAGGAAAAAACTTTTGGTCGTAATGTATTCTCGCAGCGGTTTACGTCGATGAATTCGCGATTTATTCAGTTACTTACGACTGAAAGGCAGAGAAACCATGAAGAGTGCAGCACGACATTGCCACAATTCGCTTACCATGGCGAATACAAGATTCCATTACCTTCCTCACCGACGGCTTCAGAGGATGCCTTTTTCTTGTTCTTCTTCTTTCCCCCTCCTCCTCCGCCAAGCTCCCCCATTCGACGAAGCATTTGCCTGAGCCGACTGTTCTGGCGCAGTCGCTTGCGTCGCCTGAGTCGCCTGAACGGCCTTTTGTGGTTCCTCTGGTTTCACGTCGCCTGGGACGGGAAAGTCATGCGACATCAAGGAAATCATGTAAAGGCGCAGATTCCGTTTCTATTCCTGCCAGATCTGCAAAAAAAAATGACACGGATGAAGGAGATGCAAGAACAGGCCGATGCAGAGAGTTTCTGAGCTGACCTTTGGTCGAGACCGCATCCGATGCCGTCGCTGGAGTCGCAGGAGTCGCCGGTGTCGCAGGAGTGGTCGGAGTCTCGGGCGTATCTTTCGAGTTCGCCGTGGACGACGTTTTCTCTGCAGCTGAAGCATAGACGCAGTTATGGAAGTACACGTACTTGATTGCGTCGTGGATCTAGAATATTGAAGTGGCGTGAAATTTCTCAGAAGGGTCATTGATCGTACAAGAGCTAGCGAGTGGCAAACTCGTACCAGTGTTCACTGTCGGCTTGTTCTTGTTCTTCTTATTCTTCTTTGACGGCATTTTGACTCAATGAAAAGAGAATAAATGTTATCGCTAGGATATACTGTACTAGAAAAAGGAGGCTCGATACGCGAAGAGGACAAGATCCGAGCTGGGCTCAAGCTATTAGAATAAATGTTTTTTTTTTTAAGCAATGCACAAGCAGGTTGAATAAACGCTCTCTCCTGCTGCTTCGCTTCAGTCTGAACCACCAGCAGAAGGAGCACGAGATTCCATTCAAAGCAGAAAGCAACCATAACAGCAACCAGACTGGAAAAGGCTGACAAGACAACGACTGGGAAAGGCGATTATGATGTTCGGATGATGCATGGATGTCACAAGCCCACTATTGTATAGCACGGTTCAGTAAGATGCTTTCTGTAACAGAGCGGTTGTTGAAGATTCCAAGGGTTGGAAACGCAAGAAATTTGTTTACAGGAAAGCCTCGACGGTTCACCTGACACTCACCCAATCCGGTTTCACCCATCTTTCTCGCCCCATCTTCAGGGACGTTGCTTCGCAGATGAATGGCACTCGATCGGACGGCCCGCGGCACCTGTCAGCAAGTTTCAGCTCCCGCGCTCCTCCAGTCATTTCTGCTACGGGCACGTGCGAACGCCAACAAATCTATTTGTGCCAGGGAGACCACACCTCACCTAAAACTAACAGTGACAAGTAAAATGCCTGAATGGCTGCTACCATATATGTATATATATATATATATCTATATATATATCATCAATCAGAGACCCTGACTAGCCTGCGTACAACGTACATATATCTACATGTATACAATACTCAGCCTGGTTATGGAGCACGCAGGCAATGCTGTTTTTCAGCATCTAGGCTCAACCCGCTTCTGAAGTCATCTTACCATCTTTTTTTCACTTCCAACGTGGAGCATGCCCAGGGAGTCTTCCAAGATAACAAGCGGGCTGGAGCTTCTCTCATCACCGAACACATCAACCCCTCTAATCTCTCTTATGAAAGTCGCACCCCACTTATTGTCCTTGCTAGTACGGCCACATGAACCATCAGCAGCACCCATTTCACTAAACCATTCGTCAAGCACAGTCGTTCCCTCCGATCCTCCAGCTGACACATTCCTTTTAGACCGAGAAGGAATCTCCGAGAGCTCCGGAACCCGTCGATCCAGGAGAATCTCCGGATCATTGCTGCGAAAATCGTCTGCTTGCTTTTCCTGCCGCCGCGGAATCTCGTCACTCATCACCACCTGAATCACCCCTGTCTCATCCTCCGCAATCACCAACCCCTCCCTGCCAGCTGAAGGAGCAACTCCTCCACCGTGATTGGCCAAATCTGAGGAGGTTCGATCACACGAGCCCTTGGCTGAAACGCATCCGCCTGCTGCAGAGCACTTAAACGACACAGTCAAAGCTGGCTCTTTCAAAGGAGGGAGCATGCAGGGTGAGCAGCAGCACCGTTGAACTTGAGCCACCTCATTTGTCGTCAGGTCGGACGATCCCATTGCGCTTGGCGGTGGGAAGAGCGGAGCCAAGGCCTCCAACTCCCGCATATTCTGCCATGTTACTGACCCCGATTTGGGAAGAGCAGCAGGAGCTCCGTTTGGACATGCTGTCCCAATCGGAGCACCTTGTAACGGGCTCAGATCAAACGTGTCAAAGTTGGTTGCTCGCGCTAGCCCAATCCGCAGCTGTCAGCAGCACCCCATGATCCAAAGGCTCCGACGGAGTCTTCGAATTTGTATCAAGATCTTCGCTTGGCAGCAGAATCCCATGATTCAAACCCAGGCTGACTTCAGAAACTTGGAATCCTTGACACCCTTTCAAGTTGACATCTGCTCGTGACATGTCATCAGCAGCAGCCTCGTTCACCAGCATTGACCACTTTCGTTTCCGTTAGCCAAGCCCGTATGCAGCTCCCCAGTTTCCTGCTCAGCCTCCTCCGCCGCTGCTCCTGGTGATGGCGGGATCACACTGCTGGATGATACCGCCCAGAGCCAAAGGGGAGTCCGCGGGGAAACCGGCGTGGAAGGCGCTGGGGACGACTGCGGAGACAGCGGGGCGGACAGTGGCGGGGACAGCGGTGGTGGCGAGCTGGGCGTGGTGGGTGTGAGCGGGCACGAGTTGTCACACCTCTCGCCATCTTCCTTCGCCAAGCCGCTGCAAATCACAGGATAGGTCGAGTGTGGTCGCATGGTGCTGCCGCTTCTCAGAGCATGGAGAATGCTGCAGCTGTGCACGCGGGAGCGGGAACATGTGACCTGTGATTGCAAGCTGCTCCCGCATACTACCAGTAGCAGTGAGATTGGCGCGCTCTGTAGGGAATGTGGGATTCGTTAACAGAGACTCGTTCTCGGAGGGGGTGCGAGAGGCAGGCTGCGCGTGGTTGTGCTTGCCCGAGTAGATGACACGTGGAGCAATGTCAGAGGCGCCAGGCTGGCCGAAAAGCGTGTGCACGTCGACCACTCGGCGCGCAGGGCAGCGGCGTCCGCCGTTGTCGGAGTGGCTGCAGCGGAAATAATGCCTGTTAGGAGCAATGACAAGAGGGAATAGCAAGACGGGGAGAACATGTTAGGCCGTTGTCACTGTCATAATCGACACTTGTACAGCACACCAACCAGTGCGTCACCAGAGATGGACGGATCTAAGAACTAGCGGAGTAGCACACCATTCCGCAACATTGTTTTGGCGTGAAAAAAAAAAGAGGAGAAAAAACGAACCTATAAAAAAACAAGATGAAGAAGACGAAGAAGAAATTATAAGAACAAAAACGGTTGAAGAGGGCATGTATTAGGACTGACCGTGAGAAGCGGCCGCCTGAGATGTCCTTCTGGCCGTACTTGAGCCACTCGTGCCCGTCGTGGGGAATGCAGTGCTTGAACTCGCGCAGCCTCGCGCGCTTGTTCGGCGGACTCGACGGCTTCCAGCTGCGGTACGCGGAAAGAAAGGGGGAATGGGGAAGAGGGGGGAAAGGCAGCAGAACGACCGGAGATGAGAATGATAGAACAAAATCGCTTGAGATTTGTCATAACAATCAATGGCGGGATTCTGAGCAATGTGGGACTGCGGCGGCTCTAGTAAGCTCGATTCAAATCAAGCGATGCTGGTACCACTACTAAGACTCACTTGATGTCGAAATCTTGCAGCAGCAGCGGCACCAGGATCTGGCTTGCTGGAAGCATCATTGTGACACTGAATGCAGTCTCCGTCTGTCGAGATGTGAAACTGGTGTAGTGCTAGTCAAGGAGTTCAACGCACGCTGATAGAAGGCAGATAGAATGCTGGTATAGTGCTGGTAGTATACCGCAATGGATGCTGATAAGTTGAAGTTGTTGCGTCAATGTTCAGGGTCGCGATGGGATCTGCAGCTAATATACAAGTTCGGCCATGCTAACCCACTCCTTAGGTAATGTGGCTGACGAGGGGAGGACAGAAATGACAGAAACGTTTCCGCAAGTATCGCGCCCCGCCAGCTGCCATACTCAGCAGCTGACAATTAGCTGCAGCGTCCTTGAATAGTAGCTCTTGCAAGCAGTGGCATGCACAACTCGGCTCTCGAGGAATATACACCGTTATGGCGTGTGCTAAGTGCTGCAAAAACTCGACGTCGAGGAACGTCGGTGAATTTCCACCCTCGGATCAAAGGTTCCAACCGTCAGGATTCACCGACGTCCCTCGACGTCGAGTTTTTGCAGTACACGCCTTAGCGCTCGATCGAAACTAGTAACATCGGAGATGATGTCCAAACGGCAAATATTTGATTGCCTGTTGCATGATAAGATTTATGGCTGCAAGCTAGCAGGCCTCTGTCAGCTCCACAACCTGTGCTCGGGAGAATTCTGTAGGACCATACCATTACATACTGTACTTCCCAGGGTTTCTAACGATCCCCTCTGGATCTGCGCGTGATTGAGTAACGCACTATTGCGGGAAGGACAAGGACTGAGGATAATCATAACAGTTGGTTGACGAGATTGCGGTACGATGAAAATAATGATTCTCACCGCGCTCGGCCTCTCTCTGACCTTGTAGCGACAGTTATGACCCTCACTGTTTGTTTGAGAGCTTGAATTGAACTTGGTCCTAGAATCCTCAACACCCTCAGGCTGTCAGGAGCTGGCAGGCAACACCGCAGAAAAAGGACGAGCGGGGCTACCAAGCCAAGTACACGTGAGAGTGACAGGTTGGCGGGGAGCAGACCTGACCTCTAGGGTGCCCCTCGTATCAATAACGCGTACAGTTGTCACATATTCCGTGCTGAAGTTATAATATACAGGTCGTTTCAACCTGAGTAATTCACACCCATTCATAAATTGACCTCGCTTGGGAATTCTTTTAGTGCTTTCTTACTACCGTAAGTGCAACTACACATTCTTACCATTAAATAATAGGGGCCACAAACTTTGGCGCAAGCTTTCTACTACCTGCACAGTGCAAATCGAATGAAATTAGCATAATGACTATACTGAAAGGCCAAGAGAACCTGATGCATACTCTAACACTACCTGACTGTTTCTGTTCCTCCATTTCGCCAAGGCATCCGCAGCCAATCTCTCCGTGGGATCTCGGGAAAAATGTGGAGTGAGCGACATTTCTGCAGCGTCACTTGCTTCCGCTATCCACACCCCTTCCTCTCCGTGAAAACAACCGAGTCTTCGTATAAGATTCCGCCAGGATACCTTCAGATGAAAAATGACAGGGGTAAGGTTGGGGAAGGGGGGAGGGGGGAGTGGGTGGTTTTGGGGTTAGGACGGAAAGGGGCAGGAAGGGCGGGAAAAGGGGAGGGGAGGGTTGAAGGGTGGGGGGGGGGAGGGGGGGGGAGGGGGGCAACAGATAATAAGTGGTCGAGGGTGAGGGAAGGGCGAGAGGCAATGTGGACAAATCAGGAAAATGGGCAAAGTGTCAGGGTGGGTGAGCAGGCAAGATAGAGCAAAAGGGACGGGTAAAGCAAGGGGAAATTCAGGAGCATCTGACCAGCTTTACAAGCATCTAGATAGGAACATAATAAAAAATGACAAACACATAACCAGACATTATCCATCCAATTGCAATCACACTCACTATGGAACCCGTGAGGGACGGATCGAGTGGCACAAACGCCCTCTCCCCAGCCAACACCCTGCACAGCTACCACTGCTGCCCCCCCATCCCCCCTGCCAGCCACTGCTCCACCGCCATTCTGTCCGCGCATCCCCCCCGTCGCCACACTCAGTGGTACCTCGCTCCCCCTCCTGCCCGTGCCTGCGCTCCTGCTGCCACTGCTGCTGGCGCTCTCACTGCAGTCGGACCTATCAGTGAAGTTTCACCCCCTCTTCGTGGCCGCCATCCATCCGCCGGCCTCCTGTTGGATCCCCCCCCATCCTTCTCCTCCCCCATTCAACATGGCCTGCTCCGTGCTCTCCCCCTTCTGACATCCCAGCACCCCCACCATGACCACTAACAGAATGCAATCGCCTGCCTCTGCACCGCCATTCCCACAGCCACTTCTGCCGCCGCTGCCTCTGCCCGTTCTTCCCCAAAGGCTCATCCCACCCCTCACTCCGACCCTCCCACGTGCGCCAATTCTCCCTCCCCCGACCAGTCAGGCCTCCTCCCAGCCTGGTGCATAGGCTGGCGTATAGCTAAGGAGGAGGGTGACCCTGATGGTGCTTCTGCTCTGGGGTTGGTGGCGGTGGTGGTGGTGGCAGTGCATATGGTGTTTTTGCTCCTGTCAAGCACGCTACACCCACTGCTGACGGCAACTCTCTTTCAGCTGTTCCTGCAACCCCTTCTCTCTACACCTCTTCCCCCCAAACCTCTCCCTGAGAAACCTCTTCCCCTCCATATCTCCCCCATTCTCACAATGCTCTCTCTCCCCCGAGCCATCAAGCAGCAGAAGCCACTGCCCCCGTCTGCCACGCCCCCACGGCACGCGGCTGCCCCACGGCCAGCACCAGTTCCACCACGTCCACCTCCCTGCCCGGGGGAGTGGCAGGCAACGAGGCGAGGGGGGTCCACTGACGAGGGGGGAAAGAGAAGCTGTGGATTGTGGGGGAGATGCAGGGAGAAAAAGGAGAGGAAGAGCGGGATGGTATGAGAAGCAGAAGAAGGAGCAGAAGCAGAAGCAACAGCAGCAGCCACTTCCTTCACTTGGTAGACGGTAGAGAGAAGACAGGAAATACCTGACTCGGGAGTCAGAAAAAAACTGACCTGAGGCTTCTCTGAACAGTCGATGGTTCAAGTCGGCGCCACCTGGTTGACCGGCTGGCGTTGAGGGAGAGCAGCGGACCAATTGCATCACGCCGCGTGGCGGACGGCTGAAGGCCCGCCACCAGATACACGCCTCCTTCCACCAGCTCTTGCAGCTGAGAGAGGAGGAGAGTGGGGGAAGTGGAGGTGGAAAGGGAGGGCGCGAAGGCAGGAAAGAAGCAAGGAGAGAAGAGGGAACAAGGGAGACGTGTCAGGATACGTGACAGACGGCTGAAGGCCCGCCACCAGGTACACCCCGGCCACCACCAGGTACACCCTGCCCTCCACCAGGTACACCCCGCCCTCCACCAGGTACACCCCGCCCTCCACCAGGTACACCCCGCCCTCCACCAGGTACACCCCGCCCTCCACCAGGTACACCCCGCCCACCACCAGGTACACCCCGCCCTCCACCAGGTACACCCCGCCCTCCACCAGCTCCTGCAGCAGCTGAGGGGAGGGGGAGGGGAGTGCGGGGAACGGAGGGAGGGGAGGGAGGGGAATGAAGGGAGGAAGGAAGCACTGCCAAGCAAACTCATGTCAATGCATGCCATGCTATACAAAGCCATGCCACGCAATAACAAACCATGCCATGCCATCATTTCCCTGCCATAACATGCTCTGCCATGCCATGCCATGCCTCATGCCATTCCATGCCATGCCATGCAGAGCCCCATGCCAAGCCAAACCATGCCATGCCATCCCTTATGCCATTCCCCCATGCCATGTCATGCCCTCACCTGCTCGTCACTGGGTCGCCAAATGCTGATAATCCCTTCCCCTTGCCGCACCCTCTTGCTCCACTCCCCCTCCTCGTCATCTCCTGTCCCCTCCTCCCTCTCCTCCCTGGATCGCTTCCCAGTGAGTCCCACCACTCGCACTTTCACCACAGGGCACACGTCCCGTTCCTTCAACCCTTCATCTGCCAATGCGTCATCTACCGCCTCCTGCACTGCCGCCCTCCGCTTCTCCTGACAGGTGGCAAGGATGAGAGGAGGAGAGGAGGAGGGGCAGAGAGCACGGAGATGGGGACAAAAAGAGGGACACACGTCACTTCAGCTGTCAATGCGTCATCCACTGCCTCCTGCACTGCTGCCCTCCCGCCTCTCCTGTGACAGCATCAGTGCTTGTGGGGACGAGGGAGCATGGGGGAAGCACAGAGCAAGAACATGAGGACACGGGGCGAAACACACTCCAGTAGCAGACGGCCCACCTCCCTCCCGCATCCCAAATTTCAACACATAACCACCCCTCCCTCTCCACTCACCACTCTCTGCAGCTGAGCTCTTCCATGGCACCACGTTGCCTCAGCAGTCAGCCCACCATAGAACGACTCCGGATCACCACTAGCATCAAACTCCAACAACAAACGACCCCCCTCCCTCTCCGCCTTGCCAGCCCTCCCCTTCCCCGCCCAGAGAAAATCCGGCAGAGGCCCGCCCCCGCCCCATTCCCCATCCTCCCCACCCCTGCTCTCCCCCCACTCTCTCCCCTTCCACCAACTCCTCCTCCTATTCCTCGTCCTCCTGCTCTGCCCCCCCTGCCTGCTGCTTCTGCTGCTTCTTCAGCCATTAGTTGCTTCTCGGCTTCCAGACTCGCCTTCTCGGCCACCTGCTCCCTCCTGGTAAGCGGAAAGCGGGTACAGGCAGAGAGAACGAGGCAAGCGGTGGGTGGGGGATGAAGCGGGGGGGGGGGGAGGGGAAAGAGGAGAACGGCTGAGGGACAGAGGAGGAGGAGGAGGACGACGACGACAACGACAACGACGAGGAGGGCGAGGAGGAAAATCAAAACAGAAGATCTTAGCATTTAGTCTCTCACCTCTTCTCAAAGTCACGAGCTGCCACTGCTTCAGTGCCCTAGCTGAGCGCATGGTACCACCGGGCACAACAGCAGCAGCAGCAGCAGCATCCGCATCAGCTTTCCTTGCGGTGTTCTTCTCCCAGTACATTGTAGGATAGACCCGTGCAATGGCCACCACACGTAAGGGGGATAGCTCCCCGTCCTCCCGCACCCTGCGCAGTGCCATTGGGACAGGCGGCTTCTGTCGGCCTGTAGCGGGGGAGGGCAGAGGGAGAAGAGCAGAGGGATGAGGGGAAGCACATGGGGAGATGAGGAGGGGAGGGAGGAGCGAAGAGGAATAGATAGAGAGCAGCAGGGAGACAGAAAGGGTGGAAAATCTCTGGCCAGCATAGATCGGGAAAAGAAAGAAACATGTTGGAGAGGAAACAGGAGGTCAAGCAAAGGGCAGGGGCAGGGCTTGACTCGATGAGAAAGTGGATTTTGGCAGGACTTAATCCTTCGACTAATGGCTATTTGATGGCCTTCGTGGGGGCGTGGGGCACATAAACCCACCTTGGTGGACCAGTGAGCTGGATAGGTGATTTAGAAATTTCTCAAAAGGGTGTTCTTGAAATTCTAGAACCATGGGTGTTTTGGGGACTTCTTAGAAACACCCTGTTTATGAGATTTCTCAAAAACACTCTGTGGGGGTGGGCGACGTACAGAAGCCCAGCTTGGTGGACCAGTGAGCTGGGAAGGTGCCGTTTGAAGTGAAGGGCGAGCGTTGCTGCTGTGCACGCCTGCGGTGACGCGACGGGAGTGAGAAGGAGAGAGAGGGTCGAGAGAAAAGTGGGGGGAGGATGTGTTGGGGTTGGGGTTAATAAAGACGACGGTCCCAAACGGTGAGGGGAGGATGTGAGTTTTGAGGCGCCTCAAAAGTTTTGAGGCGCCTCAAAAGTGGATGTGTTGGGGTTGGGGTTGGGGTTAATAAAGACGACGGTCCCAAACGGTGAGGGGAGGCTGTGAATAATAACAGTTTTGAGGCGCCTCAAAACTAAAGTGGGGGGAGGATGTCTTGGGGTTGGGGTTAATAAAGACGGTGAGGGGTCCCAAACGGTGAGGGGAGGCTGTGAATAAGAACCAAGCAGCAGCTGGCGATGTGTGCGTGCCGTGGTATGCACAAGTATCATGCCGAAACAAACGCAGCACACGGCTCCATACAATACGGGGAAGACAAATGCAGGCAAAGAAAGCGGAGTAGTGAGGAGAGGATTGAAAAATGGAGAGTGAAGGAATGGGGAATACCTCGAGGGGAGGGAGGCCTTCCATGCAGCCATTCAGCACCGCCCCACACACCTGGCATGGGTGGGTTGAGTTGAGGTTGAGGTGATGTAGGAAGAGAGCCGGGAGAAGGCAGATTAAGGTTTGGATGCGGGTCAACATAAGGATCAGAACGGGGTTGAAAGCAGGTAAAATTTTCAGGTTCACAGTCAAATTCAGGCTGGTTCAGTACGTTCAGGCTGGGGTTCATATTGGGATTCATATTGAGGTTTGGTTTCATATTCAGGCTGGTTCAGTACGGTTCAGAAGCAGCTTGCTCTCAGTGCAATATTCATCACACTTTGAGTCGAATGAGTGCACCCACCCGTATCTTCTGGCCAACAAAGAGCCGACCGCGATTCAGAAGGTCTGTGAGGGGAGCATCGAGGCGAGCAGGCAGCCAATACCTGGAAGGGAGGGGGGGTTGAAAAGGGACGGGAAGCGTGGGAGGGTGCGTGTGAGAGGAGGGGAGGGGAGGGGTATAGCTTTTGGGGTGTAGCTGTGAGGGGAGAATGGAGGCGAGCAGGCAGCCAGTACCTGGATGAAGAGGGACGCATGTGGGGGAAAGTGGGGGTATGAGTCGACTAAAAAAATGAGGCGAGCAGGCAGCCAGTACCTGGACAAAGAGGGACGCATGGGGAGAGTGGGGCGGGTGCGTGAGAGGGAGGTCGTTAGTTCTGTAAGGTGTTGAGGGTAAGGTAAGATTTGATGCGCACGGGTGCCAACAAAATACGGACTTCTAAGGTTGCTGGCTTTGAGTGTGCCACAAAAAGGGTGTCGGAGAGGAGGGGGGAGGGGGGGGGGAGGGGGGGGGGGGGGGGGGGGGGGGGTTTGATGGCGTTGGGTGGGGTTGCTAAGGCTGCTTGCATGGGGCACATGGCTGTTGCAAGAGATGCACGAAGAGCAACGATGTGACACCATCTGCGCAGTAGAACGGCATGCAGACATGATGTATGTGTTTGCACTATGATGGCATGCGAATGTCCCATTAACCCATAAACTTCTCTCCTCCTCACCATCCATCAGTCACTTCAATCATCGCCGTCTGCAGCCCCAAACCCACCGCCCCTCTCTGCCGCCCCGCCTCCTGCCTCTTCTCCCCCTCTTCCCCATCCTCCTCCCTCCTCCCCAACCCCTCTTCCACGTGCTCCTCCCTGGGAGTGCACAGCAGAGATACAGAGTACCATGGGGCTGCCAGCAGCAGCGTCCCGCTCGCCACACCTTCTTCAGAAGCCGACCGCTTGCCTTCATTCACCTCCCTCTCGTACCTGCATGGGCATGGAGGCAGGACAACATGATGGAAGATGGCAGAAAATAGCAAGGACTCAAAATGCAAAGGTTACGGCAGAACCAGCTGGGTCATTCAACAGCGGCTCAGCCATGTGGTCTTTGTACTGACCACGGAGCAGTGAGCAGAGTTAAACTGAGACGACTTTCGAGGCACCTCAAAAGTCGAAACTCAGAAGTCGAGACTCAAAGGTCGAATGAGCTGCTCTTTATCCTTTTCTTAACACCCACCTGTACTTGAGCTGCTCCAGCACTCTCTCCACAGTCAGCATCCTTCCTGCAAGGCGACGGGGGAAGCTGCGCTCCTGACAAGCGAGTTTCCACACCACCCAGCGATAGTGGTTTGACACCCACCTGTGATGGGGGTGTTGGGGATGGTGGGATGCGGGAAATGCATGGGAGGAGGGGGGGGGGGGGGGGGTTTTCACGAGCTGCCTGTGCTCCTGACAGGCCAGCTTCCACACCAGCCAGCGGTAGTCGTTCGACACCACCTGTGAAGGGCGGTTGAGGGAGAAGGGAGGGGTTAAAAGGGAGAGGGGCAGGAAGGAGGTTTTATGTTGGACACGCAAGCTGCGCTCCTGACAGGCCAGCTTCAACACCACCCAGTGGTAGTGGTTCGTCACCCACCTGTGTTGGAGGGGTGGTTGGAAGAGGAAGAAGAGAAGAGGGGAAACGGAGATGATGGGTTGAACTGAAACAATGTCGGGTGCCGTGCCAGTGCCACAACGTGTGACCTTCGTTACAGGCGCCTCAAATCCTGGCTGAAAAAAAATGGTGTGCCAGCCAGTGTAACAAAGCAAACGACTTCTTGCTCGTTCGGCTCTCTCATTGAGGCCGGCGCGCCTAGATGAAAGAGCCCGAACACGCAAACGAGAGAGGCCGAATCAAATCAAAAGGGTCAGGAACCAAAAGAGTGAAGAGGGAGGTTGGTGTCTTACTCTTGTGTGGCAAACTTGCGCCGGGCGCCTGCTGCAATCAGCATGTCCCTAAACTCCTTAGCCCCAACATTCGCCCTCTCCCCACCATCTCGAGCACCAAGAACTGTCAGAGTAGCCTGGCCTTCCCCTTTTCGTGCGATGCCCATCTTCCTCCTTCCTTTGCTGCAGATCCCTCCGCTGCTGCCTCTGCTGGTGATGCTGATGCTGCTGCTATAAGATCGTTTCGGATGACGCACTCATCCTCCGTGGTCGTGGCTGCTGCATTGCTCTTGTCTTTTCGCCAGTGCACAACCCTATTGCAGAGATTTCAGGGAGTGCAGGGCTTGCAGGGATTGCAGGGAGTGCAGGGAGTGCAGGGCTTGCAGGGCTTGCTGGGAGTGCAGGGAGTGCAGGGCTTGCAGGGCTTGCAGGGAGTGCAGGGAGTGCAGCACTGGTAGCACCTATTGCAGGGCAGCCACTGCTTTCTACTAACGAGAGTGCTACTGATGCACAGCTGCTGCACCTGCTGCATCTGCTATACCATCCACAGCTCCTACACCACCGCCATTTGCTAACTCTTCTACCCCTCCGGCATGGTCTATACCTCTTACGACTACAACATCGGCCCCACCTGCTAAAATCTACTGCACCTGCTGCAGCGTCTGCTGCACTGGCATCGTCTGCTGCACTGGCATCGTCTGCTGCACTGGCATCGCCTGCTGCACTGGCATGGTCTGCTGCACTGGCATCGCCTGCTGCATATGCTGCGCCTCCTTCATCACCTGCTGCAGCTGCCATATTAGCCCCCCTATCTGCTGGATCTACTAAACCTACTGCATCTGAAACGTTTGTTGCACCGGCCACCTGTACAGTGTCAGCTGCACCATTCGCTTCTGTGCCCGCTCGCCTATCTCTTCCAGCTGCTGGTGGTGATGGTTGAGGTGAAGAAGGTAGTAATGGTGGTGGCTGGGGGTAACGGTGGTGATGGTGGTGAGAGTGATGGCTGTGTGGCTGGTGGCAGTGCTGCTGCTGCTGCTGCTGGTTCTGCTGTTGGTGATTCTGCTACTGTTGCTGGTAGTGCTATCAGGGTGGGCAGTGATAGGGTAGTTGGCAATATGTGGCTGTGCTTGCTGTTGCGCGGACTGAAACAGCAGACGGGATTGTGAAGACAAATGTGAGGGCGGACTGTGCTGTCATTTTGCGAACTGCTTCTGACACCTTTCCCTCCTGTCAACCACAGGACAGCAAGTGAAAGAGAAGGATGAGAAAAGAAGTACAGCAAAAAGTGCAAGTGCCAAAACAGAAATACAGTACACGCCCAGCAGGCTGCGCTGCAGGGCTGACAATCAACACTATCCACCACCAGCAATGCCTCTGAGAGGGGTACTGAACTCTGTAAACACTCAGAAACAAACACATTCCGCATGTTCGCAAACACAGCAAGCTCTTCACGAGTTCAACAACACAGCACACATCACGTCACACCATTGCAGAAACGTTACAAGCTCTCACCACTCGTTCGAGCCCAGGCGGGTACCTAAAGAACGAAGCAACAGGGCTGCCTTCTTCTCGGCTAATTGAGTCAGCTCAACACTCACCACTCGTTCGAGCCCAGGCGGGTACCCAAAGAACTCAGCCATGCAGGGTCGCCTCCTAGGCTTCCCCCTCCGCATCCCTGTATAGATCATGCAGTCGCCTCACTCCCCTTCCCCCTGTCTAACCATCACTGCTGCACCCGCGCTTTCTCCCGCGCCTGCTCCTGAACTTGCTGCACCTGCAGAATCAGTCCTCAACCCACTCCTTGACATCAATACTGCACCATTGTCAGCAGCCATACGTCCCTCTGCTGCTCTCTGGCTGACACCAAGAGTTGGTGCATCAGTGGCATCAGTGAGTGAGCGCATGGGGATGGGGGGAAGGCCAGCGGAGCGGGAGCGAGGTGGGCGGTGCTTGGAGAATAGGGTTGGAATGGTGGAGGTGGGCGGGATGAACGGCCGCCGTGGGGATGGCGAGGTGGACGGAGAACGGTTTAGAGGAGTTAAGGGGCGGCGGAGAGGGGTGCCAACGCGGTGAAGAGGGGTGGGAGAGGGTGGGAGGGGAGCGTTGTGGAGTCGATTGGGAGAGGAGTGGAGGGGATTAGTGAGAAGGGTGGAGAGGAGAGTTGGAGGGGTACGAAGGGTTGCGTGATCGGTGCAACGGAGAGGAGTGGTGGAGAGGAGGACAGGGTGGAGGGGAGTGGTGAGAGAAGGGGGAGGGGATGAACGGAGGGGAGGTGGTTGGGCGAGTGAGGGAGTGTGTGGGGAAGCTGCAGGTGACTGAAAGAGTGCATGGTGTGGGGTTTTGTGTGGTGGGACGGTGCTTTGAAGAGTTTACGGAAGAGTGAGCATGCTGTATGGGCTGGAACCGCTGTCTGGGATGCATGGGTGGGGATGGGCTGGATGGGTTGTGTGGGTTGTGTGGGTTCGGTGGGTTGTGTGGGTTGTCGGTGCAACGGTGACCGGACAAAGAAGCTACGGAGACGTGGTGGAGAGAGCCCTGCGTTTGCGATGCATACTGTGACTGTATCGAAAGGGTTCCTGGTGTGCTGAATTTGTTGGAGTGGAGGAGCGGAGGAGGGGGTGATGCGTATGCAGAGGAAGGGGGTGTGGAGAAGGGGAGAGAGGAGGCAGGGTTGGTTGAGGGCGTGTGTGGATTGAATGGAGTAGAAGGATGGCCTGACAGAGGCATCAGCATGTGCCTAGTGGTGTTGTCCTCCCATTGCTTGTGGGGCTGTGGTTGTGGCTGATAGACGGTGACCCTATCCACTGTCCGACTTCCAACATTGCCCCCATTGCAACCTCTCTGCCCACGTCATACCTCCACCTCCCTCCCCCGTTCCACCGCCCTCGCCACTCCCACCACCACCCCTTCCACTACCACCACCATCCCTCCCACTCCCACTACCATCGCTTTTACTCCCCTCCCCATTCCTCCCATCTCCACCTCCACTCCCCCCTGTCCCCAGGTCAAACAGGCTCGCAACCATTTCCTCTGCCCTGGCAGAGCTGCCCGAGCCTCCACCGCAGGCTCGGCCGCACCTTGTGATGAGGTTTGGGTGAGGGCGAGGGGCCATGAAGGAGGGGAAGGGGGACGATGAGCAGGTTCTTCAACTGCATCGGGAGCAGGTAGCGCGAGAGGAGCAGGCGGGGCAGAAGGAGCAGGCAGGGCGAGGGGAGCATGTGGAGGTGGTTGGATCGCACCAGGTTGGGGGACCGGTGTAGTGCGGTGATTCCAGAAGGTGTGAACCTGGGAGCTTCAAACCGTGGCTCTCATGCTGCTGCAAGCCCAGAAAAGCACATGCCTTGTCCACTGCAGCTGAAGACAAAACGACAGGCTTCTTTGAAGCGGTTTGGAAACAGACCCGCTGTTCTTACAGTCCACTCCTCCCACACTGGCACTACCTTCAACCCTGTGGCCTTTCACGCTGCTGCACTCCAAAAAGAGCACACGCCTTGTCCACAGCAGCTGAAGATATGTGCACCGGCTTCCTTGAAGCGGTTTGAAACAGACCCGCTGTTCGGACAGTCGCTCCTCCCAGACTGGCACTACCTTCAAACCGCGGCCTCTGATGCTGCTGCACGTCCAGCAGAGCACACGCCTTGTCCACAGCAGCTGAAGATAATGAAACCGGCTTCTCTGAAGCGGTTCGAAACAAAGTTGTCCGTACAGTTGCTCCCCCCCGACTGACTCCACTATCTGGCTGCGCCGCTCTCGTCTGCTCTGCGCCTGCACCCTCCAGCCGAAGCACTGCTGGTTCGTCACTGACCCTGGGTTCTTCTAACTGTGGAGGACCCTTGTAGTGCTGCACGCCCAGCAGAGCACATGCCTTGTCCACAGCAGCTGAAGATACATGCACTGGCTTGCCCCGGGCAGTTTGGAACAAACCCGCCCCTATAGTCGCTGCGCCTGTACCAGCTCCACCATCTGCCTGCGCCGCACTCGTCTGCTCTGCTCCTGCGCCCTTCAGCCGAAGCACTGCTGGTTCTTCACTGATCCTGGGTGATTCTAACTGTGGAGGACCCTTATACTGCTGCACGCCCAGCAGAGCACACGCCTTGTCCACGGCAGCTGAAGATAAAGAAACCGGCTTGCCTCGGCCAGTTTGAAATAAACCCGCTCGCACAGTTGCCCCCCCCGGACTAGCCCCTCCCACTCCAGCTCCACCATCTGGCTGCGCCACTACTGCCGGTTCTGCCCCTGGGTTCCGCACTGAAAGTTCCATTCCTTCTGGCACATGAGAGCTCTGCCTCTCATGCCCTTGAGCGTCCAGCAGTGCTGGCGGCCCCTGCTGCACGCCCAGTAGCGCACACGCCTTGTCCACAGCAGCTGAAGACACAGAAACCGGCTCACCCCGAGCTGTTTGGAACAAACCTGCCTTTACAGTCGCTCCCCCTCGACTAGCCCCTCCCAATCTAGCTCCGCCATCTGGCTGCGCCATTACTGCCAGTTCTGCTTCTGAGTTCCGCACTGCAAGCTCCATTGGTGAAGGCACATGAGAGCTCTGTCTCTCATGCCCTTGAGCGTCCGGGAGTGCTGCAGGCTTGTGTGTAGGCGGTGTGATATGAGGTGCGACAAACTGTGGTCCCTTGTACTGCTGCACGCCCAGCAGAGCACACGCCTTGTCCACAGCAGCTGAAGACACAGAAACCGGCTTGCCCCGGGCGGTTTGGAACAGACCCGCCCCTACAGTCGCTTCCCCCCGATTAGCTCTCCCCAAACCAGCTCCGGCATCTGGTTGTGCCACTACTGTCAGCTCTGCTGCTGAGTTCCGCACTGAAAGCTCCATTGCTGCAGGCGCATGAGAGCTCTGCCTCTCATGCCCTTGAGCGACCGGGAGTGCTGAGGACCCATGTGTGAGCGGCATGATTCGAGGCACGTTGAATTGAGACCCTGCGTGCCCTTGAGCGTTCAACAGAGCTGCAGGCTTGTGTATGGGCGGTGTGATGCGAGGGGCGTCAAACCGTGGTCTCTCATGCTGCTGCACGCCCAGCAGAGCACACGCCTTGTCCACAGCAGCTGAAGACAAGCGCACCGGCTTGTTTGAAGCTGTTTGAAACAGGCCCGCCCCAACAGTCGATCCTTCTGTACTACCGGCCCCCAGATTAGCCCCATCATCAAAGTGTGGCCTCTCGTGCTGTTGCACGCCCAGCAGGGCACACGCCTTGTCCACAGCAGCTGAAGACAGAGGGACCGGCTTTCCCCGGGCTGTTTGGAACAAGCTTGCTGAACCAGCAGGAGGTCGTGGTGGTGGTTGTAGTGGTAGCATTGATAATGGAGATGGGTTTTGCGCGGTGGTTATGAGAGCTGCACCTGTATGTGGTGGTGGTGGCGGAGGTTCTGGTGGCAGTGACAAGGGAGATGGGTTCAATGCGGTGGTGAGAGCTACAGCCGTTGGCTCATCTGTCACTGGCACTATAGCCATGCATCCTCGACTCCCCTGCTTCTCTCCTGCTCCTAGCATATCCTGTTGCCCTTGAATCCCCTGCTGCCCATCCATTCCCTGCTGCTCCTGCTGTCCTTGCGGCCCTTTCATCCCCTGCTCTCCCTGCTGCTGCCATTCTTCTCCATCCTCCCAAACAGCTTCATCACGCCTGCAACCGCAACAGCTGACTCGTTCACCTTCCTGCCAGACGCACTCCGGAGGAGAAACTTTCCTGGCACTGCATCGCCTTGTGCAGCGGACTGTATGTTGTCAATCACAGCAAGGGGCTTGCGTTTCGATGCAGGAGCCATGGCATGCAGCGGTGGTATACCACCAGGACCATCAGCTCCAGCCTTGCGCTTCAGTCCTCGGTTTGCCACCACACCAATATGACCACCAGCGTTCTCTCCTCCCTCAACCAGCGCTTCAGATGCTCTTAAACCTGCTCGCACTTGTGGGTGCAGCTGAGGCTCTGAATGAAGGGGAGGGCCCAAGTCTCGACTTCTTTGCACTTGCAGGGACGGCTGCAGGCAGCGCTCTCTTGTTGATGGCTTCTTGGACGCGTTGCTCATGGTCTTGTGAAGAAGCCGATTCACTTTATGGCCCTTCTCAACCTGAATACATCCAGAATAAAACAATAAACAAAGAAAGACAGAAAAACATGTCAACTCAACGCCTGGATGGTCCTTACTGAAAAAAAAAAAAGCACATGAGATACGCCCCAACACCTGAAAGTTGCAGAATTCTGGCAACCGTGAAAATGCTCTGCATACTGATTCAGGTTACCAGATTAGCAAGGCCAAGCGAAGGAAGTGTGGCTTGGCCGACACCAGTGAGGCCTCTTGCAGCGCGTGGCTTCTTGAACTTTGGCGCCATGAAGAGGCGCGTGGTGGAAGCCCTGTGGTGTTTCTGGAATATCAAGGAAAGGAGTTTGGGATACAAAGCACAAGAGGCAAGGAGTCAAGAAAAAGGAAGGGTAGAGTTTTGAACTGGCAAGATCCGTGATGGCGCACGAATGAATCACCATGGTATGGAATGGACAGGCCGAAAAATGAGGCCAAGAGTCTTGACTCACATTTTGAGGTTGAGTGGATTGAAGGAGTTCATCCAAAATGTCCGAACTTCCTGCCCTTGTGCTGCCACTACTCTTCGCTTGGGCATAATCGAATCACCATTTCGAGATAAAATGCCTCGAGGGCAATGGGTTCCATTCCTGTGTGTCTACAGCTGAAGTCCTCTGGCTGCTGTCAAGCCACAGACAGGAAGGCCGTGGATCTGCAATGCCAGCAACAGCAATTGCGCCAGAAGCTGTAGCGCCAGCAGCAGCTGAAGCGCCAGCAGCAGCTGCAGTGTTCTCCGACCTATATGGCGGTTGTGCTTCCTCGGACAGGTGTGTTGGCTCAGAAGGTTCCAGTGCTGTCTTGAAAAGTTCTGCTACTTCAGGTCCTCCTCTCTGCGAGCACGCTGGAGAGAGGTCAGGCCCACGTTCTGAACGTGCTGGTGGGGGATTTTCCTGAGGCTTCAATGCTGCCTCTGATCCTTCTGCAACTGAAGCGGTTGCAGTTGAACACACAACGCCGGATACTGCCAAGGCAGGACTAGCCATAGGGCATGGTGGTGAGATGCGGCCTGTGCCTGCAGCATCTGAGTCCGCCTGAACCAGAAGACTTGCGCTTTTCATTTGTGGCTCATCAGCGACGGTATGACGCAAATAATTCTGCTGACTGATGACTGCTGGCGATACGCCTGCATTTTCCGCTGCTGCTTCTCTCTCCACAAGTGGTTTGTGGGGTTCATGACCTTGCCTTTGACATGCTCCCGCAGCAGAATGGAGGGAAGCACGCGTTCCTGGTGATGAAAATATTATCAATGGGTGGGGATATTAAGACGTCTCAAAGCATGCACACACTCCTGCTGAGAAGGTCAGTAATGCGTGGATCTATAGCATCGGGAGAACGGAGAGAACGGATTCATGCGAGCTGGGGAATGCGTGATATGCTAGCCTCTGGAGAACGGATTCGTCCACCGAATGAATTGACGAGGTGCTGATCATGCTTACGAAAAAAATATTGCAAGCGAATTGAAACGTACGCTGCAGAAAATCGCGAAGCTCGCTGCTTTCCTCAGCCGCGTCGTCGAGAGTGTTTAGCGCGGAAAGAAGAGATCCTGCATAGCTTTCCGACGTTACACAACCATACTCCCGTGGACCCTGCCGACCAGCACCAACGGTCCGGCCTCCCTCGACAAGAGACAAGTCGCCACTTCTTCGATCAACTACCAGTGAAAACGAATGCACGGGCCGACCGATCTCGTCCATGGTAAGAAAGTAGCCGCTTCACTCTTTCGGCTGAAGCGTCAGAGTTACGCGTACTTCATGTTCTGGCGGGGGTTCGTTGAGAGACATAAGTCACATTATGGTGTCCTAAATGTATCTCAAAAGTCACCTTTGGGACTTCTGAAGGGACTGCTGTGGTTTGTTCCATAATCAGCGTCAGCGTCACGCCCTTGGCAATAAGAGCCTGAACAAAGGAGGACATATTCAAGGATTAAAATTGTCACTCTAACGAGCGGAGAAGCAAATAATCAAATGTAAAATGGATTGGATGACTTTTGCCGCATTGCACCATGCTCAACAACCGACTCAGCAGCGCCACAAACCAATCAGGAAGCCCCAGAAGGACTCAAACCGTTGGATGTATCTTGAAATTATGGGTCAACATCATAGACATGCGAATTCTGCCAGGGCGGTTTGCGAATGTATGCAGCGTTAATCCCCTGGAAGAAATCTGACGGAATGTTATCTGCCCCGGGTCAGAAAAAATAAGCCCCACATGGATGGCATGTGACTAGGGAGCCTCAACCCTAAAACACGCGGCGGGCCGACGTCTTTCCTCCGAAACCGTTCAATGCATACAATCGCACACTATCACTGGAAAAACCTGCATGACCATAGCAATTGATCCGTGAAATTATCGAGCAGCTGTGCATGCGTCACTGCAGCCCACAGACGGAATCATATCCCAGAAAAGTTCGTAACTAGTTTCGCTGATTCTCGTCGCAAGGGCCAGGCATGGTTACCCCTCCGTAACAGCCTGAGGTTGTTTTTGGGACTGAGCACCTTCGTCATCATGATTGCACTACCCTGCAGAACCGAGCAGATCGTGCAGGAAAAACATCTGCACCGAGACGTACCCCCTTCTCATAGCGGGGTAGCCCTTGTTCATTTGCCCAATCAGCTTCGTCCACGCCCCCACACTCCTAGGAACCACCATCATCACTCCCAAGCTTCGGCATGTGGACCAAGTCTCTACATGAAAGATACAACAAGCAAGCATATGTGGTGTGGTGTGGTGGTAGACTGACTGACTATGGCTTCACAAATTCTTTCTTTGTCAGAGAGTGATCGACTGGATCAGTAGCCGCGTCTGCAGCAATAAGCCGTGTACCTCCTGCATTTAGCCGCCATGGCTAATTCATGTTTCGCTATGTCAAGCTGCAGACCGGCGCTGTTGGGGAGCCCGTTGAGTGAACGATTGGATGAATCGTCGAACTTGAGAACACATCATGAGAGCAGTTGTCTAATCCGTCGGCCAGCGCGGCTAGCGCATAGAGTAAGCATATCGGCTGTTCTTATCGCTCCAATTAGGGAAGAGACCTTGTCCGTAATGATATTTTCCAAGCATGTTTTCTTTCATTAACAAAGTCTGCTCCTCAGTCGATGCCTAAAGGTTCCCTAATTCGCCAATAAGCGTTTCCCTTCTGCCAATGACTTTGCTGTGGCCCTGTCAGCGACCGATTGTTCGGCGCCGTCAGCGCAGCGGATAATGGCGCTCGCCGCAGCTGATGAAATGCGCCTTGCGAGGGGATCAGCGCGACTGGAAGGAGCACCTCGCGGGGCGAAGCAGGTGTTGCTGGTGGATCCGGTCGAGGGCGAAGCGGCTAGCGCAAGAGGACCTCAAGAAACGTGCCAAGGTCGATCACAACAGGCAAGCGCTTGTGTAAACAAAAGCCGTTGTACATATATGTGGTGCGGAGCTTCTAGGGCGAGATGATTCTGTGCTTGCCAACGTGGCGTCTAAAAAGTCATTATTTTTTGTCCGTGCGCGAATAGAAGCAAATTCGGTTTCACTCAAA